GCATCGAGTCGGTGTGTATAGAACTGTACGTTATACTGGTCGATTGCGTCACGTGTGACCTTAGGGCATAACGGACCACCCGTGTCTTTAGCCGTCGGTCAATCGGTCAGTTCCGCGCACATGTTCGGCGGTCCTCTTTCTCGTCCCTCGGACTATCCGTCTATTCATTCGTCCTGTCATGGATTTTCAATGTGCGCGTCCCATAATTCGACGAAGACCTACTGAGTCACTTGCACGGATCTCGATGACGACGGCGAACAAGATGCGACAAGCCGCGACTCACCATGAATGACGCGAATCGTGAAACGCCATGATACGTCAAACACGTATACGCGATGCTACTCGATGTTACGTCTTTGATCACAACAATAGCACATTATTTGTTTCCTATCGAGACCGACAAAATAATAAATGTATAAGCGTCATTTAAGCAAACATATTTGACCTTCCAAGAAAGAAATTTATTATATTAATTAATTGTAAAAGTATAAAGCACGGATATGAGCGAGAATATATAATAGGACAAAGAGAGAAAGAAATCACGCAAATCCTTTATCGTGAAATTTACTACAATCTCTCATACATATATCATATTTTTTAAAAATTTTCGTTCAAAAGATTGATCAGACTTGGATATAACGGTCTAAAAAAGACTAATCCGTTATCCCGCATAATTTGTAAGAGACATCAACGACAGACGGGCGAGGTAATCGAGTAACGAAGGCAATAATGTCCGATGATGACACGAAAACGATTTATTTATTCATCCCATCGCATCGCCGTGCTCTTATATATAAAGTTAGCGATAATACCGTCGATCGGAAAGTTAAGCGAGAAATAAAGATACGGTGCGAACACACATGCATCGAAAATCGTGTCGGGCCACAGGAATGCAGGATGAAAAGGGTACACCGAGATGGTACGCGATCACACGAAGAAACCGGTCGTTCCCCGCGTGGGATTTTTGCGCACCACCTTGTAAGAGAGTGGCCCGACGTACGATGCACGATGCACGATGCACGATGCGCGATGCGCGATGCACGATGCACGATGAAACGTTACTCAGGTTCTGGTAGACAGTGGACGAGCCGGATCGGAGCGCCGTCCTCGCCGCTCCTCGCGCACCATTTTGAGACATCGGGCCGGGCGAGTCGCCCTTAGCTCTGGGTCAGAGCACTGGGTAACGGCATTGCCCGGCCACGTGCGTATCCACCGCGATATCTGGGTTATAATGTAGTAATTATCCACGCAGACGTGCCGACCTATCCCCCGCTCGAGAGAAAGAGACCCCTCTCGCGCCGAGATGCCGCGCGCCACGTTTTTCTCACGTGTAGTGGTCTCGCATCGGACGAGAACCGATCGATATCCATTCTTCCAATAGTAAACTTCATTCATCGTCTTTCTTTCTCTCGTTTTTTTTCCGGAAATATTTAGATTAACATTTTCTTCGGCTTTGGATGCTTTGGTTGCGATGATCGATCGAATAACGTGCATCTGCAACGTGAGTCTTAATCTCTGAGATACGCGAGATATATCTCTGATACATCTCAGGTACGGTGGCCGATCGACACACTTTTAAAAAAACTTTTGAATAGAATAAAACACATGTTCACTCACCCCCTTTAATAGGAGACAGGCTAGGATGTAAATGCGTAACTGCATACCGCGTTGGTGTCCACGGTGAAATGCTATTGGTATCACTGAAAACCAATAATTACCAATATTAAGACCAATATTAATTACCAAGTTTAAGCATGACGTTGAAAATTTAGTAAACAATAATGTAATTCGCAGTATCGCGCCAAAAAATTCTTTTACGCGAAAATAAAAACAAAAAGTAACTTTTAATTTCTGAAAAAAATGTGCATTAGCAAAGACGCAGTTTGGCAGCTTTAAAGCGTAATAACTACCTGTAACTGATAATCGTACAATCGAATAATTGTACAAGTCGAGAGATTTGTCTCTCCCAGCTATCTTACTACGGTAAGCTTTTCTGTCGGCGTAACCACCGACCGCACTCGATCACACAATCGCGACCTGTAATTAAAGTTTTATCAAATCTATAATTAATAAGAATTTTTAGAAAAGCATCGAACGACGTAGGTCCGTTCGATCAAAGCAAACTTTACATCATATTATTAGACATCGTTAGTATTAACCGCTGCTCATTTCCGTTTGCGGCAAAGGACGCATCTACAACAGGGCAGCCTGTTGTCGAACTCGCGTTTCACTCGTTTCGCTCGTGTTTGATCGCCAATTATCAGGCAACATGTTCGCCTCGCGCAACCACTAAGCCACCTGTCCCAAATTCCTCTCGAATGTCCGGGTTTTCGCTCCGTTACTTCGTTGTAACTGTGGAGACGCGGTCGCGGTCTATTGATGCAAGTCGAATTCGCTAAATTTGCAGAAGCGCACATACAGAAGCAAACGTACAAATTTCACGTATAATTACTTAGCTGGAAATGGGACAAGTGTATTTGCTTGTGCAAGTTGTTAAGTAAATATCCAGCACAGATATTTAACGAATCTCGCATCGATTCTAAATTACGATACATTACGATATGACACGAGTTGAATCAGAAGATGATTTTGTCGTGATGCATCTTTTATATAAAAAAAAAAAAGAGGAAAGAAACGCGAATATAATATTAACCACTAACTTATATTACCACTGTACACAGGACGAAAGTTTTCAGGTTGCGTGATGCAACTTTCTTTCAGAGAATAAAATACCTAATTACAAAAGAGGAAGTGTGTAAACGGAAAAAGAAACTAATTGAAACCCCGAAACTGGTTTTATTTAAAACCGTAATGAAATACTTGGCGAGGCTTTTATCAGATGTAAATTGAGACACAAACGAGAAAGGCAGTCATGTAAATAGCGGGTAGGTAAATTTATGTCGCGTGTAGGTACTAATTTATCTAATGGTCGTGCTTGAATATGTCTTCCGTTTTAACGCTCTCTTAACGAAGAACATGCGGCAGAAATGCCTTCGCATCCGTGCATTCTTTTTCGCGGCGCACGCCGCGAAATATGTGTGAGGTCCGCGTGACGTGTATATCGTATACGAGTACGTATGACGATATAAATCTTACATATACGTATCTTCTAAACTATCTTCAGATTAAACAAATTACTCACGATGCTCACGTAATAAGAAAACCGGTTTCTCCTCTCGCCCATGTGTATTGTCGCGATACTTTGTTTTCAGATGCGCGTGCGTTAAATGTATCATCTCGATCTAATCTTGATCTTGAAATTAAAAATTTCATTTATCAAGTTTTAAACGCTTTCTGGTCTTGACGCTATAACGACGCGTGAATGGCGTGACCGCTTTCGCACGCGCATGAAAGAGAAAAGCCGGAGACGATATGCAAGTCGTCTATGCGCGGTGCCGGTGCAGCCGGTGTCCAAGCTGGTATGCCATACGTTCTATGAATGTAGGCAAGTAGGCTCCCGTCGACGCTCGCGGACCGCACGCGCGCACACGTGGAGTCCAAGTCAAAAGGACCAACCGGTTAGTCGGGCGCGGCCGTCGCTTTTCGTCCCCTTTGCGAATTCGGTATTCATTTCACGCTTTATATGTATATAACGTATCGTGCAGATCGTAGCATCTAAAATCGAAAGAGTTGCGAACGACTCTGATTTGAAGTCTGACAGATTCCTCGGAACCGCTCTGATTAAAGAAAACAAAGATAAGATTTAAAGGCATTTTTCGCGTTTGTTAAATGTTATATATTTAATGTTGTAATTAAATAACACTAAATAATAAATGTTTATTTGATGTTGCTTTTGCAGTGAATGATGTTAAAAATGTCTCAACTGTCTCAACCATGTGGACTGTAACTGTCGAAAGCACCTGGCTACCTGAAAAGATAGCCGCGAAAAATGCAAAGTCATTAGATCATATATCATATATATGTTATATGTTATTCCGCTTTTGCAATTCGTGTCACGATAAACTGCGACACCTGTTTCTTCTCTTACGAGTAGCCTGTACTCGAATGAAAATCACTGCCAGCTGTTTACACGTCTTCCGTTCCACGTTAACCATGAATCGGGCATACCAAAGATGTGGCATGATGCCAAATACATATAACGGTTTCGTTAATGTTGTAATTCCAAAGTCGGGCATTCGCATAATGAATAACCTAACAGCGACCTATATAGAAAGAACGTAGAAATTTTTTTGTTTCCTTGTCCCCCTTCCCCATTATCTTGTCCCCCCTCCCCCCCCTCCCATGTAACAAACGTCCAGAAAGATATCGCGTAATGCGAATAATAAATAGTACGCTAAATGCTGATAACTGGAAAAAAATTAAATAAATACATTGATGAATTTATATTAAATTCATCTGTTTTAAACTTGAGTTTTAAATTTAAGTATCTTTGATCACTCAATCAATTGTTTCCACTCCCCTCTTTCGTTCTCATTTCGTTAATTATCTCGCTCTAAAGTGATTAGTCTGTATTATATAAACCTTTTGCATACAATTTCTCAGAAATAATTATTCACAATGTGTAAGTTAATAATATGTTGTGAAAATTGCCGGCAAACTTGTTAACAAATTAAAACCTAGCATCGTTCTCGGATATATTCGATCGTGACACGCATTCATTATAATTATATCGCAATAGACGATATAATGATATCGGCACGATATCTATATTGCTAATCTTATTTCACGACACGGCAATCGCATAATAATCAAGTACACAGAGTAATCTGATCACTTCTGTCTACACTTGTGAATAAGAGAAAATGTATCAATGAGATACAGAGAGTAAAATAAAAGAAATTGTTTATTAATTTTTAATAAATCGATAGAAATCTATATTAATAAAAGTTTCAATATCGAAACGAAATTATAATCTGCGATTTATAAATTTAACTTTTTAGACAAATTTGTAAGCAAATATAGCAGAATATAAAGTGACGTATTCGCGTTTTCAAAATCTACATAAAAATGTACAATTTAAAAGCGTGTGTTCTCTGCTAACAACTCGGAGCTAACGTTTTTATTCGGTAAATGTGCGAGTTCGCACATATCATAAAAAATTCACAGTCTACTTCTTTTAGCATGGGATCTCGATCTCATTTGATTACATCGTTTGCACAACGGTGTACGAAATTACGCACTTTTTACTTATCGTGCATTTTCTAATTCGACGCATCGTAACAATCGGCTGCATCTCGGCTCGTTGTTTTATGTGCACGTTATGACACGTTAATATTCTATTTCTTGACGCTTATATTTACGCGATTATAACAATAGATGAGAAAAGGTAGGATAATTTTAAAAGAATCCCTACCGACGTTACAGGTTCATTAGACAATGTTGTTCCGTCATAGCAAACGTTCGCTAGAGTAGAAACGATCACGTGGCTGAGTATATATCGTGCCGCATCTCCTACAGCGCGTCGTATAATTTCTCTCAATGAGCCTGCGCTCCGGCCGTTATTAACACATTAACGAGGCGCGAAACGATGACGTGCGACCTACCTCTAATAACTTAATCAGTGACGTAGCGCTAATTGGATTATCCGTGCAACGTAGCCGGTCGTTAACCGCCGGCGTGCGTACGTACGTCCGCCAGACGCTCAAGAAGCGCATTTAATAGCCGCGAATTATCTATAACGACGTTTTCATTTTCACCGTGCTTACACATGCCGCGCTTACACATGTGGCGCTAAGAACCATGGAGTATTTAAAGAATTAAATTTCTGTTCTTTGTCGCGCACCCAGTTATAGTTTAGGACAGGTTGCTCTCGAAGATAGTGAAATAAACACGTATTCTCGCAGGGGTGCAGGATCCTTTATCTCGATCCTTTCAATCATTCATCTCGCGCGGAACGAATTCTTTATTCTAACGGTAATAGTATATATAACATAATACCGAATCTATCGTGAGACAATTTCGTCTCGTTGTTCTCCTTTGAATCAAACAAACGAATTTACAGAAAAATAAATACGATGATCGAATATTCGACCAATTGGATTATTCTTCTATTCGATACTTGATATCGGCGGCGCCATGATATCTTACTTTTTTGAGCCGATACCTAGTAAGTAAATCCGGATGCGAGTGGTGTTGCCAACGTGCTTGGTCCTTCTTCGGGTGTCGGACGAAGAAACGAAGAAACGAACTGAACGATAATTCGAGCCCGAGGATCGCTACATCGATCTTCGGTTCGCGGAATCGCGGTTGGACCCGGCTAGGTAGTTGGTCCCGGCTCACAACCACGGCTGCGATTTCACACGCTGCAACCGTTCGCGCGCTAAAGATAAGATTGGCAAACGTATCGCTAGCGAGGTGCGAATTTCGACATTCGTCCGAAACGGAGTCCGATAAGAGAGCCTTCGGAAGCTCCGTGCGTGCGACTGATCTCACTTTGTGATGACGCGCTACTCCGCGATGCTCGACAGCTAGAGAAAGAGGCGCGCGCGCGCGGCGGGGGCAGCATGCGGTCTCGCCGGTCTCGGAGTCGGAGGTGCACGCGAGAACTTGAAGAGTCGGAATAGGGTACACCTGTCCGATATACGGAGTATACTACAAACGTAGCGGCCCGCCCCCTGACCCAGACAGCCGGTACAGTTATATAGGTCCCTCGCGTCGCGAGCGGAGGATATCTCTCCTCGTTCTCGCTACATTCTCATATTCGTCTTCGTGAGTCTGTGACTCGATCACGATAACGATACCGATACTCGTTATTGTGAGAGGGAGCAAGAAAGAATACACGTCGAATGTACCTCGCGAATCTACCTCGTACCCTATATCGCGTATATCGCGTTTAGAGCGAAATAATTAATTATGTCAGATAGATTTTAATGAAATTTGATTTGGTAACGATAATCGGGGAGAGCTTCTTACGAAGAACCCCGATGAACGAATTTTTTTACGATAATAAACTTTCCAGCTTAGCTTTCTAACGTTTATTCTCTAGTATACGATGTATTGAAAAAAACGTTCGTGAAGAAGAAAGATCCACATAGTACGAAGAGTCGCGTTGCACCCTTATTAAACTCTCGCATTTGTATGTTGCGTCCTACCCAATTCATGTAGAAATAAATAACGAAATACCAATGTTACGATCATGTTATTGTTAAAGTTAAATTATAATGTGAAATTATGATTATTATTTGTAATATATGTGCACACACACATAGATATGTCAAATCTATGTCCAAACGCACTTACTACAGCCATCCAATTATATTGTCCCTATTTATAATAATATTTATTATAGCAACTTTTTGCGTTTTGAAAAAAATGTTTTATTCGTTAATCATTGAACGATATTTCATATTTTATTTCACATTTTTAGTAACTCAAATATATTAGATAGATGTTTATTAATTAACAACATATAAAACAGTTACAAATATACATACCGCGGT